GTTCATTTCTGAACTTGGTAACTAGCACCACATCTCTAAACATTTGTTTGCTCTCCATATGCTCTGCAAATTGACATATTCTTCAAATATAAAGCCCTGGAATTAAAATCATCCCCTTTTCACAATTCTAAATTTGCATTATTGTGGAGAGTATTGATGAATTTAGAATTCTATTATTGTCTCATCAACAAATGCAGGACCTCTCAATATTGTGGAGAGTATTGATGAATTCTATTATTATAGTCAATGCTGTATTGTATTATTTTATTCTTTTATCTTTTCTCTTTCAGCCCTATAAGGGCTTTCTTGTAATCTATTAGCCCCATAAGGGCTTACTTGCAAATATACATAATATAATAAAGGCTCTTTGGGGGTGGGGGTTGACTCATCTTTAACACCCATCTGAAACCTTGTGTTACTCTTCAGTTCAGGTTGTTGTCGGGGTATCAGAGCTTTTGTTTTGATTCAAGACCTGGGATTTGAAGAATAGTTTAGAGAGATCAAGAGCTACCTTCAGTCATAGTTTAGGCCTTTCTTGAAGGGAGTTTTACTCAGTCCAAGAAACTGTTTTTTTCCTGGAAAAGAACGCCTACTAGGTAGGTTTTTCTTAGATTTCTCTTGATCGGATGCTTAGTTCATCTTGAAACTCTAGAGTTTGTGTCGCCCTGACCTCTAGATATTATTTTGATTGGTTGAAGATTCCAATCTGTTTCAGAAGGGTTTTGATCCCTTCTTTGAATCGATAGGACTGCAACCTCTTTTTTTGGGCTGTCAACTTTGGATACTTTTCTGTTTGGACTTGTTCTCTAGAAAATATTTCTTCTTTTGTTGTGGGATTCTGTTTCTCAATGTGTTGGAAGATTCCAGGTTCCTTTTTACTTGGAAAACTGTTGTTATTTGTCTAGTTGTGGACTCAGCTTTACTAGTGCTACAGTGTTGACCTGTGAACTGTTCAATAAAATGGCTGAAAACATGGATGTTATTCCTGTAAAATTCAATGGAACTAACTACAGTATGTGGAAGTTCCACTTTGATTTTTTTATTTTTGTTGAGAGAAAAGGTTTAGAAGGCTATTTGAATGGTGAAGTCACTAAACCCAAAGAAACTGATGTGAAGGCTATTCAGCAATGAAAGCTTGACAATGGAAAGTTGGTTTCTTGGAATCTAAGCTCTATAGAGACCCATATTACTGTTCCTATGAGATGAACGAGAACTGTGTATGACATGTATGTTTATCTGAAGTTTACTATCAGTCAAGTATGTCTAGACAATATCAAATTGAATCTGAAATTTTTGCTTATTCCAAGGGGACAGGAAAATACAAGAGTACTATGCTAGATTTCTGGACTTATGGGCTGAATATGAGTTAGTCCATATTGACCCTTCAGATTCTATTGAGTTATCAAATACCTTCAGAAACATTTTGAGAAACGGAAGGTAAATCAATTTCCGATGAAACTCAGACCTAAATACAAAATAATTAGGCCTAATATCTTGTGCAAAGGGATCCTTCCAGACCTAGACTTAGTGATAGGTGAACTCCTTGGGGGGAGACTAGACTTTTGACTGTTCTAGGACTTTATGGAAAGCTAGCTGATACTGAGATTGATACTGCTTTCATTGCACATGAAAGTAAGAAATCATCCAATAAGGATGCCTCAAAGGTTCAATACTATGAGTGTAAAGGGTTCAGCCATATTGCTTCACATTGTAAGAAGAAAAATTTGTGTACTTACTATAAACAACATGGTCACATTATTCCAGATTGCCTTGTTTGACCAGCTAAGGGTGTTCAAAAGAATAACCGGCATCATGCATATCAGGTGACTGAGGGCCAGACTTCTAGCACCACTCCTACTAAGTTTGACTCTTTGGTTAAAGATGAATCATCCGCACCTATTCATGAAGAGAAAATTCGGAAACTGACATCCTCTGCTATCTCTCCTACTTTCTTTGCTATTGGCTTATTTGGTGAGTTTTCCCGTTATTGTCTTTCCTCTTCTCCTATTTGGATGAAGCTACCAATCATATGACCGGAGCCTACCCTGGACCCTCAAGTAATTATATTGAAACCCATCATAAACATGTTGTTATTGCTAATGATGAAAAATCGAATCACCATTGGTAGTAACAATTTGTCTCTTAAGCTTTCGCCCTTATCTTCCTTTTCCCTTACCAAGACCTTTGTCCCCAATCTCATTACAAACCTTATTTCAGTAGGTTAAGTTGTTAACACAAAGGTCACATTCTTACCTTTTCTTCTGATGGTTGGTTGATTCACGACCAATGCATTGGGAAGGTGAAAGGGAAGGGCATAGGTTGGGCCGCCTATTTGCATTGGAGTTCGAGAAGCTCCTCACAACCAAGTCATCAACTTATTTCAGCTCTTCCTCATCTAGTTCTGTTTTTTTTTTTTTTTTTTTGTCAAAGAAACAATGTTTAGGACTTGTGGCATAAGTGTTTGGGCCATCCACATTTTGAAAATTTGAAGCTTTTGTTCAACTCCGGTTTTATAAGAACCAAAATTCCTTCTTCGAACCTTTGATACTTCATGTGTTTCTTGTTAAGAGTCGTACTTTGCCTTTTCCTCGTAAGTCTACGCATGCTACTTCTCCATTTGAAATTATACATACCGATATTTGGACTTCTTCTATTACTTCTCATTTGGGCTACAAGTATTTTGTACTCTATTGATGATTGCACTAGGTACACCTAGATTTATTTTCTTCGTCACAAATCAGAAGTCTTCCTAACATTCTGGTTATTCCACACCATGGTATGAGTTCAATTTGAGTCTTGTGTACGTATCCTCCGTTCAAATTCAGGGGGACAGTACACTGTACACCAATGAGACTTTCTATCTTATTTGAAGACTAATGGGATACAAGTTCAATGAAGTTGTCCAAATACTCCCTAGCAAAATTGTGTGGCCGGGCGCAAGAATGGACATGTTCTTAGTATTGTAAGGACCTTATTACAAGAGTTGCATGCACCTTCTTCTTTTTGGGTGGAGGCAGCTAATATGGTTGTGTTCTTGATCAACTATATTCCTTCTTTTGTTCTTGCAAACGTATCTCCTTTTCAGAAATTGTTTTGTCGTCCACCAGAATTTTTTACTCTTCATGTGTTTGGTTGTTTATGTTTTGTACATCTCCCTTCTCATGAATGCTCTAAATTGTCTACTCAGTCTGCTAATTGGTAGGAGTTAGAGACCTTACTAGTGTCCCCATGGGTTACCTATTGGGTTGCCTTTTGAAGCAGTTAGAATTTGTCTTGGGTGTTGAAATTGGAGTCTTTAACTAGAGATCTGATCCCTCAATTTCAGTCTATAAATAGCCATTTTAACTGAATTTTGAGAGTGGAACTAACAAAACGAAGTCCTTTTTAAGTTACATGTGGATAATGGTGTGATCTTTCTCTTTCTCCTTTATATTCAGATCTGAAATTCTGAATCTCCTCGTACCTTTATTTAGATCCTTAGATCTCCCTCTTCTCACACCACATTGAACCCAGTAGGACTTTCTCCTTCTCATCCTACATTACACAGATAGCTAGGACTAGCATTGGACAATGACCTCTTTTATGCCACAATTTAGTTTGATCTTTCGGAGCCCCGAGGTTTATTAAGTTTCTCATATACAAAAATGATTTTCTCACATAACATTCGTAAATGCAAATTATTTTTTTCCTAAAGAAAGGCATGGGGGAACTTCAATATCAAATCCTACACTAAACAGGATCACAGGCTAGCATGGTTTTAAATTCCCACTGAAACCAAAATATTTCCACCAAATACATCTCCTTTTTATGGCACTGGAAATGAAACATTCATTACTGAACAGAAAAAGCCTTCTTTATTGGTCAGGCTGAAATCTTATGGTTATTATATCACAGGCTAACATGGTTTTAAATTCCCACTGAAACCAAAATATTTCCACCAAAGACATCTCCTTTTTATGGCACTGGAAATGAAACATTCATTACTGAACAGAAAAAACCTTCTTTATTGGTAAGGCCAAAACCTTGTGGCCATTATACCGTTTCTTTGGGGAATAGAGAGTCTTGCTATTAAAAAGAGATAAAAAACCAAACAAGACACTCCCCCAAACTTAAGAAAAAACAACAATGATTAATAAGCTTCCATGCTTTTTTACAGGGTTTTTCTGTATCACATTGTTAAGAGGTTGGATTTCAAGGTTAGATAGAGGCGGATAGATGTACCACTTTTCTGTTTCTCATTAATGTATTTTGTAAGGATTCTTTTAAGCCAAAGATTCAACAAGATGATCTACTTTCACCCTCTACTTTTGTGGTGAGTGTACTTAGAAGAATGGTTAAAAGAGCTGAATGGTATAACCATTGAAGAGGCTTCAGAATTTGGAAGGCTAATGTGGTTAATTATTATCATTGTCATCAGCATATACTTTGTACAAATAAAAGTGTAATGAATTTTTAAAATAACTTAAGAAAAAGGCCTTTTCCTCCACTTCCCTCTCATGCCTCCCCTGTTTGACAATAGAAGTTCACTTTCTATCATGAATACTCCTGATGCTACAAAGCACAGCAGCAGCACCTTCCCCCACCCCCCTCCTCTCAGGGTCCTCTCTGAAGCTATTTGCCAGATGCTGCCTGGGATGATTTGTACGTTCTCTTTTTGTTTCCTGGGATACTTACTTTCCACATCGAATATGCTATTACAGGCATATTTTGACAACTTACATTATTCAAATCAAAAGTGTATACTCTAAAAACAAAACTAATAACCAAATAATGAATTGAATATAGTAATATTCACTTATATTGCAACTTGCAAGAGCAAGTGACACCCTTAGATTTGTTTCTTTTATGAAAGTGATACTTGTTTGATTCTCTCTCATACTAATTATCCAATTTTCTACAAAAAGGAAGCATCCTTTTCTGAACTTTATGTTGTTTATGCATCTGGATATATAATACAAATGGATAAATAAGGGAAAAATAAATAAAGTAGCTTCACATACTCTGTTGATGTGCGTAGCAATTCATATACCATAGCAGTCTGCAATGATAAAAAAAATACATAAATACCAATAAAAGCATATTATACTTGAGAAAGTTCAGAGAGAGAGAGAGAGAACCCTTTGCCACAGAATCCTCCTTTTGACCACAGAATCCTCCCACATGCTATGAATAGGGTTGATCATCTAAAGAAGATTACTTTCAGCAATATATATATATATATATATTGCAAAGCAAGCTTGCACATTTCGGCTTTTAAGACACCAAAGTTGGCTCGTAAAAATCAGGAACCTTATATGTGGAAGCACTGTTGGTCCCAAAAGAGATCCATGTATTCCCCTCTCTAGCATCTATTCATTGGCCAAATTTCAATGCAACAGCCCCAGCTACATGACCAAAATTAACTCTATTGTTAGAGAATAAAACCTATTCAAAGACCTCAGTTAACAGCTTAAGCTTTTAGGTTGAATGGTTCTTTGATATGGTATCAGAGCCACTTTGACCAAGTGGTCTAGTGTTCGATTCTTGTCACCCCCATTATAATTAATTAAGTTTCAGCACAAGGTATGGGTGGGCCTGTGCTGTCCACACTTCAAGCCCAATGGGTTTTCGTGTGAGGGGGCATGTTAGAGAATAAAACCTATTCAAAGACCTCACTTAACAGCTTAAGCTTTTAGGTTGAGTGGTTCTTTGAGATCTATTTTCTGGGTGTATTTTAACAAAGAAAATTTAAGCTTTCAATTGCTAATTCAGGGACCCCATCTGATGGATGATGGCCGAGAATCAGCTACAACATCTCTCTATGTAATTGAAATAGGATAGCTCATCCAGAAAACAAACCCAACTGACCTGTTGTATGTGTGTCTATGTATGGCTATGTGGGTGGGGATGGATTGGTAAGTCATGTGTTACATGGGTGCATATATACATAAGAATTTCTGCAGAAAGATGTAAACATGTCTACCTGTAAAACATTTGGCAAGTTTAGCCTTTGTGCAAGCAGGGTGGCAATTGTTGACTTCCCAACACAAGCAGTTCCACATACAAGAATTACCAATGGCACTCTTTGGTGATGAAATCTAAAAGAAGAGTAACATTAAAAACAGCATTAAAATAAAGGGTAGTCCCATAGACCTCTTATCCAAAACAACTACTAGTCTACTCAATCCAAGGATAAAAGTATCAGTATGGGTATCGTATTGGACAACTTGGATACAGATACACTTTGAAAACACATGGATATGGACAAAAAATATAGAAACACTTGGATACGCTAGAGAAACACATACAAATTCCATAAATACACTAATAATACTAAATTTAAGGTCAAATAGCCACAAATAATGTATAAATACATAGAAAATGTATATTTTAATGGTGTATATGAAAAAATATATTACAATTAACATAACATGATGCATAAATATCATACAATTTTATTGATAATGCATCAATCAAGAGTCCAAACCACAAAACATATACACCTATTATATTTTAATTATTTATTTTCTATTTTACTATTTTTAATTTTTTACATTAACAAAAAAGCCAACCAAATATTAAATTCTCAAATGTAAATTAAAATATCAACTAATAATTTATAAAAATATATAATCTCAACTTAATGATTAATCTCAACACAAAACATATGCACCTATTATATGCAAATTGATAATTTTTAATTACTAAAATGATTATTCCATTATTAATATTTTTATTTCTATAACTTTTTTAAAATTAAAAATCATTTTTTGATATAAATGTAGATTAGTAGATTTGATATATTCAATTTAATATTATATTCTTGAATATTTTGTAAACAATTTTTATTTTTTTAAATAATAAATATGTTGTCATTTAATGTAAATTAAAATATTAATTAATAACTTAAAAAATATATAAAAATTTTAAGATAGATATCATGTGCAAATTTATAAATTTAAGTACTAAAATAATTATTCTATTATTAATTTTTATTTGTACAGATTATTTATTACATCACTTTATAAAATACTAATTTTGAATATTATTCTTCTTTTAGTTGGAGTTGTTAAACATAAATATATACTATTTATTTGGATTGCATTTAGACAATAAAGTTAATAAAAGTTATTTTATTTCACTTATTATCACAAGAAGATAAATAACTTAGTGGTTTAAGAACTTAGGCACTAAGCATTATTGTACGAGTTGACTTGGGCTTGAATCACCCCATTCTCATTTTCTAGTAAAAACTAGAAAGGCATGGACGCATGGCGTACCATTGTGTACCAGTCCATATCTATGCGCATCAACCGATAAAATACAATATGGACCAATACACACCCATATTGGCCCAATACGCACAACTGGAAGGTACGCCTCCAGTCATAGTGTATCCCATGCTGGTTACTAACGATACTAATACAATATGCCCCGTATCGGACGTATCATATCAATATTTAAAACCTTAACTCAACCCACTAAAAATGCAAGCCTTTTAGAATACCATTATTGTGCAATATTTAATTAAGAAGAAAGAAAAAAGAAGACCCTCACATGCTAGTTTCATCCAAGGAGATAAGGTAGCAATTGGATCATCTTGAATAGGTGAACATTGAAAGTGTTTGACTACTCTCTCTCTTTGTTCGGAAAAGACCCTGGTGTTAGATTGTTGCCTAACGCAGAGCTCTTCAAGGGAGCCTACCTCCTGAAACGAGAGAGAGAGAGAGAGAGAATTCCTAGAATCAATGTCTCCCCCTTTGATCTTTCTTTCATTATTTATAACTGTGATACAATTAGTTACACAAGCCTATCCACTTGTACAGTTCTGTTATGTATTTTGTTCTAGTGGTTGGCTTTCAGTTGTATTGTTTAAAGGCTGGCGTGGCCTTTTCTTACACCTAACTCACTATTTCGGTCATTTGTGTCTTAAAAGTTCCTCCTCCCTTGAAAGAGACCTTGCCCTCAAGGTCAAGATGTGAAAATCTGTTCTGTAAATCCAAGTAAAGTTCCCAAGTTGCATCTTCAAGTGGGAGACCTGACCACACCACCAATGCTTCCGGTTCGATGTGATGACCTTTGCACACCCATCTGAAGTCTGTTATATGGGTAGGTTCAGTTTGAACTTGGTCGTCTTCCGAAAATGATGGAAGGGTCGTTGTCGTTATTTCTCCAATTTTCGGCCATTTTTTTAACAGTGATACATGAAATACAGGATGTAATTTTGACGGCGATGGAAGGTCAAGTTTGTATGCCATGGACCCAATGCAGTCAACAATCTGAAATGGGCCGAAATATCTGGGACTCAATTTGTTCCACCCGCAGCCTGCTACTGAAATTTGCTTGTATGGGTGTAGTTTAAGGGAGACTTGATCTCCAATTTGGTACTGAACTGGCCTATGCTTCTTGTTGTATGAGTTTGTCATCCATTGTTGGGCTCGACGAAGGTGGGATTTGAGGTCTTGTAACACTAAATCCCATTGGAGGAGTTGGTCTTCCAATGCTGCTACTGTCATAGAACCTTTCTCATATGGAAGTAGGGTAGGTGGGTCCCGTCCATATAGAGCCCGGAATGGAGTAATTCCTGCTGAACTATGATAAGTGGTATTGTACCACCATGCCCAATGGAGCCACTTGAGCCATTGTCGTGGCCTATCGCCAGTATAGCACCTTAAATAGGTTTCCAAACTCCGGTTAACCACCTCAGTTTGTCGGTCTGTTTGAGGATGGTAGCTGGTAGATTTGAAGAGCTTCACTCCTTGTAACCAGAAAAGTTCTGCCCAGAAACGACTCATAAAAATTGGGTCGCGGTCTAAGATAATGGAGTTAGGGGGACCATGCAGCCATGCCACCTCCTTAGTAAAGATCTCAGCCACCATTAAAGCTGTGAAAGGGTGGGAGAGAGGGCAAAAGTGACAGTACTTGGTGAATCTTTCAACAACTACGAGAATGGCAGACTTGCCATAGGAAAGGGACAACCTCGTCACAAAGTCCATGGATATATCAGCCCACACTTGTGTAGGAATTGGGAGTGCTTGTAGCAGGCCTGCTGGGCTCTGGGTATCTGACTTATATTTCTGGCAAATGACACATTCGGCTATGAATTTTTGGACAGAATTCCACATGCCTTTCCAATGGAATTGGGTGGCTAGTCTCTTGTAAGTGCACAGAATTCCTGAGTAGCCTCCTGCTGGTGATGAGTGGAATAGTTCGAGAAGCTGATGAATATGGATTGAATCCTATGGTATCACCAGTCGATGTTTATAAAACAGCAAGTTATTCTCCACTGTGTACCCTAGGTGGATGGTAGGTTCCTCCTGGACCTGTGAACGCAGGTTGCTCAATTTTTGGGTGCCTTTTGGTTTCTTCCCGTAACTGATCCATGAAGGAACATGTTGGGGACTCGAGTACTAGTGGAAACAGTTGTGGTTGATGTGACAGTGCATCTGTTGCTTTGTTAGTGTGCCCCGCCTTGTATTCAATGACATAATCATAGCCAAGTAATTTGGCTACCCACCGCTGCTGTTCTAGGGATAAAACTGACTGTTCCAACAGAAATTTCAAGCTCTAATGGTCAATTCGTATGATGAACCTCCTCCCTAGAAGGTAGGGTCACCATCGCTGAACTGCAAGAACAACCGCTATCAATTCTCGTTCATATACTGACCTGGCCCATCTTTGTGATGTCAATGCCTTGCTGAAAAAAGCTAGTGGCCTTCCTTCTTGCATGAGAACCACACCCACTCCTTGTCTTGACGCATCACATTCAATGATGAAGTCCTTTGTGAAATCTAGAATTGCAAGTGTCGGTGGAGATGAAACAGTTGTTTTTAGCATCTCAAAGGCCTGTTGGGCCTCCATAGTCTAGCAAAACCCGTTCTTCTTAAGTAAACTTGTCAAAGGTGTAGCAATCAGTCCATACCCTTTGATAAATTGACGGTAGTACCCTGTTAGGCCTAAGAAGGCCCGTAACTCCTTGACATTTTGAAGTTGGAGCCAATTTATCATGCTTGCAATTTTTTCTTGGTCTGCCACTACAATGCCATTTTCAACCACATGCCCAAGGTAGTGTACTTGAGTTTGTCCGAACGCGCACTTTGACTCCTTTGCAAAGAGTTTATGAGTCTTGAGTAATTCCAAGGTAATTTGTAAATGCACTGGTGTTCGTCCCATGTAGCACTATAAACGATGAGTATATCATCAAAAAAAACTAGTATAAATTTGTGCAAGTGGGGTTGAAATACATCATTCATGAGTGCTTGGAAAGTAACCGGCGATGACGCCGGTGAGTAAACCGTTGGGCAGCATCTGAGAAGAAGACTACGCTCAATTGCCTCACTCGATGAAATTTTCTCACTCAGCTTCCTTTCTTAGTGGGGTCGCACGTATTTGGTGAGACCCCGTGCCCCAAAAATTGAGACGTGTATTCTCGTTGCGTCTCACCCTTTCGCCCAAAACAAATATGGGAAAATAGGAATCTTTGAAGAATATTCCTATTTTCTCGTACCAGTTGCACAAACCAAACAGACTGTAAGGGAACCCCCTGGAAAGTTATATTGTTTTCTAAACATGGCCACATGAAGGTAGAAGCATATACAAATGTTGATTGGGCAGGAAATGTGGATGACAGGAGATCCACATCAGGTTATTGTGCTATGGTAGTCGGAAATATTGTTTCTTGGAGAAGTAAAAAGCAGTCAATGGTTGCTAGATCTTCAACTGAGGCATAGTATAGGGCTATGGACCATGGAGTTTCTAAGTTGTTATAGCTTAGATATCTCCTTGATGAGATGGGGTGTTTCATGTGACGAGCCACTGTTGTTGTATGCTATTAACATTGCTCACAACACGGTTCAGCATGATAGAGCTAAGCACATTGAGGTAGACAAACACTTTATACGGGAGAGAGTGGCTTCAGGAGAGGTGTGCCTTCCTTTCGTTGCATCAGAAGAGCAGCTAGCAAATTTTCTAACTAAGGGAGTTCCAAAGGCAAAGCTTCAACATCATGTAAGCAAGCTGGGCATGGTTGACATCTATGCTCAACTTGAGGGGGAGTGTAGTGAGAATGGACCAGATGGGCCTTAGTGTTTTTTATTTCTTTTAAGTAGTGTTTAAGGTTATGTTTGTTGGTTATGGGCCTTAGTTATGGGCCTTTTTTTTGTTTTCTTTAATTATTTCTTTAGTGTTGGCCGCCCCCATTAAGGGCATCCAAGTAATTGTACTTAATTTTAGAATTAAGTTAAAAGAGATCAAGGAGGCTAGAGAGAGAAGTTCGAACTCTTCTTTTCTCTCTTCCCTTCATTTCTTCCACAACCTACTGCTGAAACCTCTTTATTCTCCTTTCTCTTCTTTTCTTTCTTTCTTTTCCTATATTTTCTGAATTACTACAGGTGTATTTCTCAACTAGAGCATCATTCCATTTTCCATTTTCTGGGGAATTTGGAGAGAAAGAAACAAACACATCTTTGGAGTAGGGATGGCAATCTCTACCCTATCCGGTGGGTACCCACCCTGACGGGGTGGGTTTTATTGCTTGAAGGACGGATCTTGGGGCAAGACAGGTTTTTGGATTCTACAAATCGTACGGGTATGGGTAGGGTATAGTATTAGGCTAAACCTCACCCTCCCCGACCTGCATATTGTTGGAAAGCATATGAACTTTATGTATTAGGTGTTGAATTTAATAATCTTTTGAATTTTATGTGAAGGATAATTGATAGCTTGTATTTTTTACATGTCTTAATCAAATAATTGGAAATTTTGTTGTTTGTTCATGTTATTTTACTTATTTATTCCTTATATATAACAAGAAATAATAGAAAATTAGATGTGGGTTCTAAACCCAACCCGCCCTACCCTCGAATGCAGGGAGGGTAAGGTTGGGGAGGGTTTTGCATTTTCATGTGCAGGGAGGGTTTGGATCAACCCGCTACAGGTTTTGGTGTGATTATAGATTGAGAGATTTTGGGAGGTGAGTAGGGTCTAGAATTTACAAAACCCTCCCCGAACCCGCCCCATTGCCATCCCTACTTTGGAGAAAAGTATCAGTATCAAAGAAAACAAGTTGCTGATATATGCTCTCTAGTATGGAGTGGTCTTTAGCCCTTCCAGAATTTAAAAACGTGAGTAAAAATGATTTTGGAAACAAATTGTTGTCATCCTTGAGTTTGGATATTGGGATTGTTTCAGTTCCATTTTTTTCTTTGGTGAAACCTCATCACCTTAAGGTGATCCCAGATCTTATAGGTGTAGTCACAGTGTATGAACAAGGAAACATTTTATCAATAATAAAGAAAATGATGATGAAACAAAGAATGAAATCGTCAAGGCTTCCAAGAAGAAGAAACCAAAACCAAATGGGACACCAAAAGAAACACCATACATACATGAACATACCAGAAACAATCTCAACTGAATGTCTGCAGGGAAAGTGACCCCCAATATAGTTCATCCTCCCTACCCCACATCTAGCCAAAATACCAAGTAAAGATTTGGCTGATCATGTCACTCATTGGAAATTTGGAATGAGAAGTACACTCTCTGGCCCCAAATCATTTATCTCTCTGATGTGATGTTGCATTGGCCATGGCAATCACTCCATCTCTTATCCATCCAACAATAGTTTGTGAATCATCTTCCACCATCACAGCGATATTGCACCAAATCTCAAGGAAACATCAATCTGAGAACCTATAGAAGTACTATTTTCTGCTCCAATAAAGTCTCCAAACCAAGTAGATTGGCAGTAACTAGTAAGTCCTACTGCTTCTAAAAGCTGTTCCTATCCCTGAAGACTGACTTCCCAGGGAGGAGACATCAAAATTGAGCTTGACCAAACCATATTAGCCATCTATTTTAGGACTTATAGGTGTAGGGGACTCCAGAAAAGCAGAAATTTTGGCAGTTCTACAGGGTTTGAGGCTGAGCAGGTCTCTTAAGTCTTAACTCTTAACTTTAGTAACATGGTGGTGGAGGGAGATCTATCAAGGTTGTGGAATGGCTAAGGAACAATTGCCAAGGGTACATATAAATGTACAGGAATTTATACAAATGCCAATTGTGGAGGACTCCAAGACAGTGGTAGGTTGGCTACGACAGAACAAAATAGGATCTTGGTTTTCAGGCATACATTGAGGTGTGAGCCCAGATCTCCTGCAAAAAAAACTCTGCGTACATATCATCCAACCACACATTAGGAATATCTCCATTACATGTATGTTAAATTCATGGGGAGTTGTTCCCAATGTGCATCTAGATTCCCATGCTTTCAGAGTTTGTGCAGATTTCTTGCTTACAGGGAATCTGGCACCACTGAGGGAGATTAATCATTTGGCTGAAGATTTGAACACAAGCTACTGTTGGCTACTAAGACCAGCCAACTCTCCACTAATTCATAACAAGATTACAAAAGCATGGAATACAGTAGTTATTTGTCTGTAGAAAACACCCAGAGGGCATCTGCAAAAAGTCTGAATTCAATTCATGGAGACGATCTACAATACAAAAAGAATGAAAGCAACTTCTAAAGAAGCTCACTTACCTGGTCATCATTTTATAACGGTTTATATATTCTTCCCCATATCCACGCCTCTCCATAAGCTGCAAATAAAGCCCCATTGGTAGGCAATCAAATGTAGAATCTTTGAAGTAAAAAATTTATCTGGGAAGATCACTAGGTTACATACCAATAAGTTTCGGCAAAAGCTTTCTTTAACCAGTTAAGATGATTTCATCTTAATCATGAACAACACATGAATTTTGAGACACATTAACAACAAACATAGAATTTCATCTTTTCTCCAATTTAAATTCCTCTCAATATCTACATCACAACTCACAACCATTTGAAAACCTAAATATTGATAAAGATAAACTACCTCTAAGACCAGACAAAGCCACCCAAAGGAATGTAGTTGGAAATTTCTCATGGTTACCTTTTCCTAAAAATAAGTTGGAAAATTTTATCAATCAAAAGAAAATATGATTTGGAAAACTTTATTAGTTCACTTAGGCCAGAATCTGATGCATGTGTGACATAAACACTATGTCCATTTATCACAGTCCATACCAACAACTGACCTTGAACAGGCTAGAATCACCATTCTGTGGCTATTTCTTTTTCCCCTTTACCATTCTTTAAACTTGGTGGTGGATGTAATAAGATGTCTATGATCAATTAGGACATGCAAAAACAGGCTTGCATACGTATTTGTCTTTGGAAGAGGAGATCTGGAGAAGTACATCATAATATAAGACAGTTTTGGTGGCTTACAGATATGCTGGCATCTAAATCTTGTGCCCAGGAATTTTGGAGATTAACCCAGAAACATGATATTCTTTATTGAATTTTGATTCTAACTCATTATCAGTAAAATTACTTTATGACAAGTGAAACAAATGGCAATTCTAACCTTGAATAAGCTAGAATCACCTCTAGTTTTTAGGTGTCAATGAAAGTAAAAGATCATTGAAAAAAAAGCATACTAACGCAGAAAATTACTAAGAATTGAGAAGTGCAGCTGCAAAAGTGGCAAGTACCTTAAAGACATTTATTACCAAAAAAGTACCTTAAAGAGATTAACTTCCAAATCTGATTGGGAGCTGCGGATAACCAATACAAGCAATCGTTAGACAATGTATCAGACTCTATGCTAGCAAAAAAGATTTTGTGTGTGTGTGTGTGTGTGAAAGAGAGAGAGAGAGAGAAGGAAGGGAGACATACACATCCAGAAGACTGTTGTCTATAAGTAACTTCTTGAGTTCCAGAGCAATTTTAATAGCAACATGATTAGGGATCTGAAATCAACAATCCACCTTTTGGTTAGATTAGAATAATCCACTGAAGTCATAAATTGCGACCCAAATAGAAATACAAAAAAAAAACAACCCTTGAAAAGATATCTGAGAAATGTTCACCAACTTGGAGAAACAAATTTCCTCATAACGTGATTGACATATCAGAAGAAATGATAAAATGAAAATTTAGTACAAAAAAAAATAAAGTGATATACTATTGTTAAGCAAGAAGAAAATAACTTCTGAACAGGAAAAAAGTCTTCATGCCTCAAGGAACAAACAGAGTGTAATAAGATTCTCTCAAACAAGCTCACAAATTTATCCCTTTAACATTAACAATTGAATGAAGTGAGTTATTAACTCTGAGCAGTGAGGTTATGGTACTTCTATGTGGTAAGCTTACCGCTAAAAACACTACATTGCAATCAAATCCTCAATACAAGCATGTAGGGCATGTTACAGAATAACTGACTACAGCAAACTGTACCAACATGATATGATACAAAGTGACAATTTTTGTTTTGATCATTATTCCATTATATGATCTAGTAATTTATTAATGAAGTAATAAAACAGAAGAAAATTAGAAATCCAACTTGTTCACATTGATCATATAATGGGAATACAAAAAATTGAGGATATCCTAGGAAGGGAGCATCCAATCCATCTCAGACCTTGCCTATCAAAATAAATAAATAAATAAATAAAACATCTCACAACTCCTGACATCTCTCAATTCTGTTTGTTGTCTTCTCTTCCATCCTAGATTATTCTATGACTGATTACAATAATATGACGTCATAGTAAAGCATCTATCAGCAAACTCCTTACACCATGTAGCATCCAGAAAAGGAGAAATACTTGAAGCTTCCAACCTGATAAATACATTTATTTATTGCTCAAATTCTCTATCTAAAAAGGTCTTTGTAATGATTTATGGAGAGTGGGAGAGAGAGAGAGGAAGAAAGAGGAGAAAGAGAAGAGAAAAGAGAGGTACGATTGAGAGAAAAAGATGTTACTGGCTGTCGCCAGTCTTCTATTTATATTAACTAAATAAAGGAATAGAAATTACAAGTATGCCCCAGGCGGCACATCTTGGAACTAAAAATAATAAGAAAAAAAAGACAAGTAACTAACTGACAGTGTCCTAAGAAGTCAACCTACTAACAGCAGCTATAAAGTAACAATTAAATAAGCCTTATAACACTCCCCCTCAAGTTGGGTTGAATATGTCTATCATGCCCAGCTTGTCACATAACTCATTGTGCCGCAAGCATGGAAGCCCATTTGTGAGAACATCAGCAAGTTGTTCCTTGGAGTTGACATAAGGAATGCAATTTTCCCTTTTCTCCAATTTCTCCCTTATGAAGTGTTTGTCCACCTCAATGTGCTTAGTCCTCTCATGTAGGACAGGGTTGCTGGCGATGTTTATTGCAGCCATGTTGTCACAGTAAAGGGACATAGGACTATGAACAACAACTCCAAGCTCCCCTAGAAGATTCTTTAGCCAAAGGACTTCAGCCACCCCATGTGCCATAGCTCTATATTCANCTT